GTGTCCCCTGGGTGTCCCCGTGTCCCCTGGGTGTCCCCGTGTCCCCTGGGTGTCCCCTGTCCCCGTGCCCACCTTTGATGATGGATTTCATGTCACACTTGGAGGAGTCGATGTTGTGCAGGGCGATCAGGAGCTCCCCGGGGTTCAGGGGGGACACGGCCGAGGCGCCGTCACCTGCGGGGACAGCGGGGTGACAGGGACAGGGACAGGAGGGTGACAGGGACAGGGACAGCGGGGTGACAGGGACAGGGACAGCGGGGTGACAGGGACAGGACAGGGACACCGGGGTGACAGGGACAGCGGGGTGACAGGGACAGGACAGGGACAGTGGGGTGACAGGGACAGGGACAGAGGGGTGACAGGGACACCAGGGTGACAGGGACAGGGGCTGTGTCCCATGCCAGGCTGTCCCCAAGCTGTCCCTTACTGTGCTGTGTCCCCAGCAGGCCTGTCCCCAGCTGTCCCCTGTCCCATCCCACCTGTCCCCAGCTGTCCCCAAGCTGTCCCCAAGCTGTCCCCACTGTCCCCAAGCTGTCCCCAAGCTGTCCCCAAGCTGTCCCTTGTCCCATCCCAGCTGTCCCCAAGCTGTCCCCAGCTGTCCCCAAGCTGTCCCTTACCGTGCTGTGTCCCCAGCAGGCCTGTCCCCACCTGTCCCCAGCTGTCCCTTGTCCCATCCCAGCTGTCCCCAAGCTGTCCCCACTGTCCCCAGCTGTCCCCAAGCTGTCCCCAGCTGTCCCCAAGCTGTCCCTTACCGTGCTGTGTCCCCAGCAGGCGGTTGAAGACCTCCTTGACCACGATGGGGTTGAGTTTGATGAGTTTGGGCAGCGCCTGGATCACCTCTTTCTGCACCAAAACCGGCCCCGGGGACACTCAGTGACACTCAGTGACACTCGGTGACACTCGGTGACACCCGGTGACACTCAGTGACACTCAGTGACACTCGGTGACACTCGGTGACACTCGGTGACACCAGGGGACGCTCAGTGACACCCGGTGACAGCAGGGCAGGGGACAAGGGCCACCCCACCTTCTCGAGGCCGTTGAGCACGGGGATGAGGAAGCGAACGTCCGGCAGCCGCTTGTGGTACAGGTCCCTGACGCGCTTGACCAGCTCGGGCGAGGGTGGCACTGCGGGCAGGGGACGGCGCTGTCACCGCTGCCACCCCCGCGCTGTCCCCGTGTCCCCCTGGGTGTCCCTGTGTCCTCCAGGGTGTCCCCTGGGTGTCCCCGTGCCCACCTTTGATGGTGGATTTCGTGTCACACTTGCAGGAGTTGATGGGCAGGGCTGTGATCCTGTGTCCCTCTTTGTCCCCCCATGTCCCCAGGGATGTCCCCATGTCCCCCTGGGTGTCCCCTGGGTGTCCCCAGCCCACCTTGGATGATGGATTTCGTGTCACACTTGCAGGAGTCGATGGGCAGGGCTGTGTACCTGTGTCACTCTGTGTCCTCCCATGTCCCCAGGGATGTCCCCACGTCCCCCTGGGTGTCCCCGTGTCCCCTGGGTGTCCCCTGGGTGTCCCCAGCCCACCTTGGATGATGGATTTCGTGTCACACTTGCAGGAGTCGATGGGCAGGGCTGTGTCCCCCCCTGTCCCTGTCACCCCCTGGGTGTCCCCACATCCCCCTGGGTGTCCCCACGTCCCTCTGGATGTCCCCTGTCCCTGTCACCCCCTGGGTGTCCCCATGTCCCCCTGAGTGTCCCCTGTCCCTGTCACCCCCTGGATGTCCCCATGTCCCTCTGGGTGTCCCCATGTCACCCATGCCCACCTTTGATGACGGATTTCATGTCACGCTTGCAGGAGTCGATGTTGTGTCCCCGTGTCCCTGTCACCTCCTCGGTGTCCCCGTGTCCCCAGGCAGTCTCCCCAGGCTGTCCCCCAGTGTCCCCGTGGTGTCCCCAGCTGTCCCCCACTGTCCCCAGGCTGTCCCCGTGGTGTCCCCAGCTGTCCCCCACTGTCCCCAGGCTGTCTCCAGTGTGTCCCCCAGTGTCCCCAGGGTGTCCCCAGTGTGTCCCCAGGCTGTCCCCAGTGTGTCCCCCAGTGTCCCCAGGGTGTCCCCAGTGTGTCCCCAGGCTCTCTCGCAGTGTCCCCAGGCTGTCCCCAGGCTCTCCCCCAGTGTCCCCAGGCTGTCCCCCCAGTGTCCCCAGGGTGTCCCCAGTGTGTCCCCAGGCTGTCCCCAGTGTGTCCCCCAGTGTCCCCAGGGTGTCCCCAGTGTGTCCCCAGGCTGTCCCCAGTGTGTCCCCCAGTGTCCCCAGGGTGTCCCCAGTGTGTCCCCAGGCTGTCCCCAGTGTGTCCCCCAGTGTCCCCAGGGTGTCCCCAGTGTGTCCCCAGGCTGTCCCCAGTGTGTCCCCCAGTGTCCCCAGGGTGTCCCCAGTGTGTCCCCAGGCTGTCCCCAGTGTGTCCCCCAGTGTCCCCAGGGTGTCCCCAGTGTGTCCCCAGGCTGTCCCCAGTGTGTCCCCCAGTGTCCCCAGGGTGTCCCCAGTGTGTCCCCAGGCTCTCTCGCAGTGTCCCCAGGCTGTCCCCAGGCTCTCCCCCAGTGTCCCCAGGCTGTCCCGCAGTCTCCCCAGGCTCTCCCCCAGTGTGTCCCCAGGCTGTCCCCAGGCTCTCCCCCAGTGTCCCCTGGGTGTCCCCGGGTGTCCCCTGGGTGTCCCCCTGTCCCCTGGGTGTCCCGGGCGCACCTTTGTCGGTCAGGCTGTGCAGGCAGCGCGTCACCAGCGTCTCGGCGCCCTTGGGGCAGTTCTCCACCAGCAGCAGCAGCTCCGGGGAGTTCATCCCCATCCCGCGGAGGCACCAAAATCCCATTGGGCACCAAAATCCCATTGGGCACCAAAATCCCATTGGTCACCAAAAATCCCATTTAATTTAAATTTAAATTTAATTTAATTCCAGTTAAATTTAATTTTAAATTTAATTTAATTTAAATTTAAATTTAATTTAAATTTATTATTTATCTAGTTTAAATTAAATTTAATTTAAATTTAATTATTAATTTAATTTCAATTCAATTTAAATGGAACTGAATTTACATTTTAAATTAGTTTAATTTAAATTTGTTATTTATTTAGCTTAAATTTAAATTAATTTAATTTAAATGTAATTCTAATTGTATTCATTTCTATTAATCAATTAATATTCAATTAAATAGAAATTATTTAATTTACATTTATTATTTATTTAGCTTAAATTTCATTTAACTTAATTTAGATGTAATTTTAATCCTATTTATTTCAATTAATCAATTAATAATCAATTAAATATCAATTATTTAATTTACATTTATTTTAAATTCTATTCATTTCAATTAATCAGCTAATATTCAATTAAATACCAATTATTTAATTTAAATTTATTTTTAAGTCTATTTATTTCAATTAATCAATCAATATTCAATTAAACACCAATGACTTAATATTTAATTGATGTCCCCAATGTCCCCTCAGCGGCCACTCAATGACCCCGTGATGGTGACACCCGCCCACAATCCGCTCCCAATTAATTAATTAATTACCTAATTAAGTGAACTGTTAATTGACAGCAGAGTAGGAAAGGGGTGTGATTTCCCACGGTGTCCATGGATGTCCCCAGATGTCCCCAGGGTCCCCAAATGTCCCCAGTGTCCCTCATTGGCTGCTCGATGACCCCACAATGGTGACACCCAACTGCCCCAATTAACCAACCCCACTAATTGATAACGGGGACAGGGAAGGCGATTTCCCACGGTGTCCATGGATGTCCCCATGGTGTCCCCAGTGTCCCCATGGTGTCCCCAGATGTCCCCAGTGTCCCATGATGTCCCTGGTGTCCCCAGTGTCCCTCACTGGCTGCTCCATGACCTCCATGATGGTGACACCCAACTGCCCCAAACCTGCCCCAATTAACCAACCCCACTAATTGATAACAGGGACAGGGAAGGCGATTTCCCACGGTGTCCATGGATGTCCCCATGGTGTCCCCAGTGTCCCCAATGTCCCCAAATGTCCCCAGTGTCCCCAGTGTCCCTCACTGGCTGCTCCATGACCCCACAATGGTGACACCCAACTGCCCCAATTAACCAACCCCACTAATTATCCATGGGGACAGGGAAGGCAATTTCCCACGGTGTCCATGGATGTCCCCATGGTGTCCCCAGTGTCCCCAATCGTCCCCAGTGTCCCCGGTGTCCCTCACCGGCTGCTCGATGACGCGCAGCACCGTGCGCTTGATGTCGGCGATGGCCTCGGTGTAGACGGAGGCGAGCTCGTGGATCAGCTTGTGGTTGTGGGGCAGCAGGGCCAGGTACAGGTACAGGCACTGCTTGATGGTCTCCTCGGTCCAGGGCGCCGCCACCTCTGGGGACACAGAGTGACACCAAAATGGGTGACAGTGTCAAAAAACGGGGTTAGAGTGACCAAAAATGGGGTTAGAGTGACCAAAAATGGGGTTAGAGTGAGCAAAAATGGCATTAACGACCCAAAACGGGCCAGGCACGGGTACAGGTACAGGCACTGCTTGATGGTCTCCTCGGTCCAGGGCGCCGCCACCTCTGGGGACACCAAAACGGGGGACAATGACACCAAAACGGGGTGACAATGGGCAAAAACGGGGTTAGAGTGACCAAAAATGGGGTTAGAGTGACCAAAAATGGGATTATAATGAGAAAAAATTGGGTGACACTGACCAAAAATGGGATTAGAGTGACCAAAAACGGGGTGACAGTGACCAAAACCAAGGTGACAATGGCCCAGTTAATGGTGTCACCTCTGGGGGGGGGACACAGGATTTCCCATAAAACGTCTGGGGTCTCCCACAGAACTTTTGGGATTTCCATGGAATATTTGCCATTCCCATGGAATATTTTGAATTCCCCACTGAACATTTTGCAATTCTCATGGAACATTTTGCATTTCCCATGGAATATTTGACATTTCCCATGGAACATTCTGGATTTCCCATGGAACATTTTGCATTTCCCATGAAACATTTTGAATTTCCCACAGAACATTTTGGATTTCCCACAGAATATTTTGAATTCCCCATGGAACATTTTTAATTCCCCCCTGAACATTTTGAATTTCCCCATTCCTACGGAAAATTTTGAATTTCCCACGGAACATTTTGAATTTCCCATGAAATATTCTGAATTTCCCATGGAATATTTTGAATTCCCCCCTGAACATTTTGAATTTCCCGCAGAATATTTTGAATTTCCCACGGAATATTTTGAATTTCCTATGGCATATTTTGAATTTCCCATGGAACATTTTGAATTCCCCACGGAACATTTTGAATTCCCCATGGAACATTTTTAATTCCCCCCTGAACATTTTGAATTTCCCGCAGAATATTTTGAATTTCCCACGGAATATTTTGAATTTCCCATGGAACATTTTGAATTTCCTACGGAACATTTGACATTTCCCATGGAACATTTTGAATTTCCCATGGAACATTTGACATTTCCCATGGAATATTTTTAATTCCCCATGAAATATTCTGAATTTCCCATGGAATATTTTGAATTTCCCATGGAACATTTTGAATTTCCCATGGAACATTTTGAATTCCCCACGGAACATTTTGAATTCCCCATGGAACATTTTTAATTCCCCACGGAATATTTTGAATTCCCCACGGAATATTTTGAATTTCCCATGGAACATTTTGGATTCCCCGTGAAATATTCTGAATTTCCCACAGAATATATTGGATTTCCCATGGAATATTCTGAATTTCCCATGGAATATTTTGAATTCCCCATGGAATATTTTTAATTCCCTACTGAACATTTTGAATTTCCCACGGAATATTTTGAATTCCCCACGGAATATTTTGAATTTCCCACAGAACATTCTGCATTTCCCACGGAACATTTTGCATTTCCCGTGGAACATTTTGCATTTCCCACAGAATATTTTGAATTCCCACAGACCCCCGGGCTCCATCCCTCACCGGTGTCCTTGTCGGCGCCGAAGTACCTCCATGTGTCATCTCCTGGTGGCACCTCCGCGTGGCACCTCCGGGTGTCTCCTGGTGTCACCTCCCCCATGTAACATCCACGTGTCTCCTCGTGTCACCTCCGTGTGTCATCTCCAGGTGTCACCTCCCCCTGTCACCTCCATGTGTCATCTCCTGGTGTCACCCTCCCCATGTCACCTCCGTGTGTCATCTCCAGGTGTCACCTCCCCCTGTCACCTCCCCCCATGTCACCTCCAGGTGTCTCTTTGTGGCACCTCCACCATGTCACCTCCAGGTGTCTCCTGGTGTCACCTCCACCATGTCACCTCCCCCGTGGCACCTCCAGGTGTCTCCTGGTGGCACCTCCCCCGTGTCACCTCTGTGTGTCATCTCCAGGTGTCACCTCCGTGTCCCCACCTGGTGTCACCTCCAAGTGTCACCTCCGTGTCCCCACCTGGTGTCACCTCCAGGTGTCACCTCCCCACCCACCTTGGCTGTGTCACCTTTGTATGTCCCCACCCCGGTGTCCCCGCAATGTCCCCTCCCGGTGTCCCCTCCCGATGTCCCCTCCCGGTGTCCCCGGTGTCCCACCTCGTCCTCGCAGTACTTGCGGATCACCTCCAGGGCGCTCTCGGTGATCAGCGGCGCCTCCAGCACCACCTTGGTGAAGATCCTGGGGACGGGGACAGCGCCCGTGTCACCGGCCTGGGGACACGCCGGGGGTGGCCTCGGTGGCTCTGCTCTGTCCCCAGAGGTGCTGCGGTGGCGCTGGTGGCACCAGCTGGGCCCTAACGGGTCTGTGCCACCCCTGGGGACACCGTCCTGGTGGCACTGCCCTAGACCTGGTGGCACTCTCCTCAACCTGGAGGTACTGTCCCATCCCTGGTGTCCCCAACCCATCCCTGGTGTCCCCAACCCAACCCTGGTGTCCCCAACCCAACCCTGGTGACATCAACCGATCCCTGGTGGCATCAACCCAACCCCGGTGCTACTAACCCAACCCTGGTGACACCAACCCAGTTTGCTGTTCCCAACCCAATTTAGTGTCCCCATCCCGATGGCACCAACCCAACCCTGGTGTCCCCATCTCAATCTGGTGTCCCCATCCCTGGTGTCCCCAACCCAATCTGGTGTCCCCAGCCCCATCCCAAAGGCACCAACCCAACCCTGGTGTCCCCATCTCAATCTGGTGTCCCCATCCCTGGTGTCCCCAACCCAATCTGGTGTCCCCAGCCCCATCCCAAAGGCACCAACCCAACCCTGGTGTCCCCAATGCCAGCCCCTGTCCCCGATGTCCCCACCCGTCCTTCTGGTCAGGTTTCTCCCACAGCCCAATGCCATCAATCCTGGTGGCACCTTTGTGTCTCCTCCAGGTGTCTCCTGGTGGCACCTGCCCCGTGTCACCTCCCCCGTGTCATCTCCTGGTGGCACCTTTGTGTCTCCTCCAGGTGTCTCCTGGTGGCACCTGCCCCGTGTCACCTCCCCCGTGTCATCTCCTGGTGGCACCTTTGTGTCTCCTCCAGGTGTCTCCTGGTGGCACCTGCCCCGTGTCACCTCCCCCGTGTCATCTCCTGGTGGCACCTTTGTGTCTCCTCCAGGTGTCTCCTGGTGGCACCTGCCCCGTGTCACCTCCCCCGTGTCATCTCCTGGTGGCACCTTTGTGTCTCCTCCAGGTGTCTCCTGGTGGCACCTGCCCCGTGTCACCTCCCCCGTGTCATCTCCTGGTGGCACCTTTGTGTCTCCTCCAGGTGTCTCCTGGTGGCCCCTGCCCCATGTCACCTCCAGGTGTCTCCTGGTGTCACCTCCACGTGTCACCTCCAGGTGTCACCACCATGTGTCATCTCCAGGTGTCACCTCCCCCATGTCACCTCCTGGTGTCACCTCCATGTGTCACCTCCAGGTGTCACCTCCCCCATGTCACCTCCAGGTGTCTCTTTGTGGCACCTCCACCATGTCACCTCCAGGTGTCTCCTGGTGTCACCTCCACCATGTCACCTCCCCCGTGGCACCTCCAGGTGTCTCCTGGTGGCACCTCCCCCGTGTCACCTCTGTGTGTCATCTCCAGGTGTCACCTCCGTGTCCCCACCTGGTGTCACCTCCAGGTGTCACCTCCCCACCCACCTTGGCTGTGTCACCTTTGTATGTCCCCACCCCGGTGTCCCCGCAATGTCCCCTCCCGGTGTCCCCTCCCGATGTCCCCTCCCGGTGTCCCCGGTGTCCCCTCCCGGTGTCCCCGGTGTCCCACCTCGTCCTCGCAGTACTTGCGGATCACCTCCAGGGCGCTCTCGGTGATCAGCGGCGCCTCCAGCACCACCTTGGTGAAGATCCTGGGGACGGGGACAGCGCCCGTGTCACCGGCCTGGGGACACGCCGGGGGTGGCCTCGGTGGCTCTGCTCTGTCCCCAGAGGTGCTGCGGTGGCGCTGGTGGCACCAGCTGGGCCCTAACGGGTCTGTGCCACCCCTGGGGACACCGTCCTGGTGGCACTGCCCTACGCCTGGTGGCATTGCCCTAGACCTGGTGACACTGTCCTGGTGGCACTGTGCTACACCTGGTGGCACTGTCCTACACCTGGTGGCACTGCCCTAGACCTGGTGGCACTCTCCTCAACCTGGAGGTACTGTCCCATCCCTGGTGTCCCCAACCCATCCCTGGTGTCCCCAACCCAACCCTGGTGTCCCCAACCCAACCCTGGTGACATCAACCGATCCCTGGTGGCATCAACCCAACCCCGGTGCTACTAACCCAACCCTGGTGACACCAACCCAGTTTGCTGTTCCCAACCCAATTTAGTGTCCCCATCCCGATGGCACCAACCCAACCCTGGTGTCCCCATCTCAATCTGGTGTCCCCATCCCTGGTGTCCCCAACCCAATCTGGTGTCCCCAGCCCCATCCCAAAGGCACCAACCCAACCCTGGTGTCCCCAATGCCAGCCCCTGTCCCCGATGTCCCCACCCGTCCTTCTGGTCAGGTTTCTCCCACAGCCCAATGCCATCAATGCAATGTGGTGTCCCCAACCCCAGCCCCTGTCCCCGGTGGTGTCCCCACCCGTCCTTCTGGTCGGGTTTCTCCTGCAGCCCAACGGCACCAACCCAATCCTGGTGTCCCCAACCCAACCCTGGTGTCCCCAACCCAACCCTGGTGTCCCCATCCCAAAGGCACCAACCCAACCCTGGTGTCCCCATCCCATCCCTGGTGTCCCCAGTGCCAGCCCCTGTCCCCGGTGTCCCCACCTGTCCTTCTTGTCGGGTTTCTCCTGCAGCCCAATGGCACCATCCCATCCCTGGTGTCCCCATTCCAATGGCACCAACCCAACCCTGGTGGCACCAACCCAACCCTGGTGTCCCCATCCCATCCTTGGTGTCCCCATCCCATCCCTGGTGGCACCAACCCAATCTGGTGTCCCCATCCCATCCCTGGTGTCCCCAGTGCCAGCCCCTGTCCCCGGTGGTGTCCCCGGTGTCCCCACCCGTCCTTCTGGTCGGGTTTCTCCTGCAGCCCAACGGCACCATCCCATCCCTGGTGTCCCCGGTGCCAGCCCCTGTCCCCGGTGGTGTCCCCGGTGGTGTCCCCACCCGTCCTTCTGGTCGGGTTTCTCCTGCAGCCCGGCCAGCAGCCCGATCAGGCACTCGTCGTAGCGCTCCAGGCCGCCGGCGCCGCCGCGCGCCAGGTGCGCGTTGTACTCCTGGAAGAGCCACGCGAAGGCCAGGTCCAGGCGGCCCCGCACGTCGTCCAGGATGAAGGACAGCACCTCGCCCTTGAGGGGCACCTCGAACTGCGTCACCAGCGAGGCCAGGATCTTCACTCGGGCCTGCGGGGACACCCGGTCACTGCATGGTCATTCCGTGGTCACTCAGTGGTCACTCAATGGTTAATCAAGGGATTAATTAATGGTCACTCAAGGGTCACTGGAATTGTGTCACCAGCGAGGCCAGGATCTTCACTCGGGCCTGCGGGGACACCCGGGGCACTCTGTGGTCACTCTGTGGTCACTCAGTGGTCAGTCAATGGTCACTCAATGGTTAATCAAGGGTTACTCAGGGATTAGTCAAGGGTCACTCAAGGTCACTGGAACTGTGTCACCAGCGAGGCCAGGATCTTCACTCGGGCCTGCGGGGACACCCAGGGCACTCAGTGGTCACTCAGGGGTTAATCGAGGGATGCTCAGGGAATAGTCAAGGGTCACTCAAGGTCACTGGGACTGTGTCACCAGCGAGGCCAGGATCTTCACTCGGGCCTGCGGGGACACCCAGGGCACTCAGTGGTCACTCAGGGGTTAATCGAGGGATGCTCAGGGAATAGTCAAGGGTCACTCAAGGTCACTGGGACTGTGTCACCAGCGAGGCCAGGATCTTCACTCGGGCCTGCGGGGACACCCAGGGCACTCAGTGGTCACTCCGTGGTCACTCAGTGGTCACTCAGTGGTTAATCGAGGGATACTCAGGGAATAGTCAAGGGTCACTCAAGAGCCACTCAGTGGTCACTCAAAGGTCATTCAAAAGGGTCACTCGCTGGTCACTCAATGGATACTCAATGGTCACTCAAGGGATACTCAGGGATTAGTCAAGGGTCACTCAATGGTCACTCAAGGGTTCCCTGGGGTTATTTCCAAGGGAATTCTGGGTGTATCCCAGCTGTATCCCAGGGTTATCCCAGCTGTATCCCAGGGAAAAATGGGGTGGGGGTCCAGGGATCGTGGGTGGCCACCAGGGCAATGCTTTGGCCACTCAGGAACTCATGAGGGGAAGGTGAAACCCAACGAGACTTCTCCAACCTGGGCGAATTCCACCCAAATCTCCCCAAATCCACATTCCAAACTTGGATTCCACCCAAATCCTCATCCCACCCCAATTTTTGCCTCTCCTTGGAGCCAAAACCCCAAATTCCACCGACCAGGAGAACCCCAAAACCCAACCAACCTCCACAACTTCCACAACTTCCACCCAAAACCTCCCAAATCCTCATCCCACCCCAGTTTTTGCCCCTCCATGGAGCCAAAACCCCAAATTCCCCCAACCAGGAGAACCCCAAAACCCACCCAACCTCCGTGAATCCCACCGTGACCCCGATTTCCCCCAAATCCGCCCCAAACCCCGGCCGGGGTGCCCCTGACCTGGCCCCAGGCCGGCCGCGGTCATCTGCGTGGCCATGAGCCGCGCCAGGTGCTTGATCTGCGCCTCGGTGCCGGCCGACTCCACCGGCGTGTAGGTGGCCTGGAAGGAGGCGGGCATGGCCTCGGGCAGGTACACCATGCTGATCAGCACCTGCGGGGACACGGGACCCCGAAATCACCTCAGGGACCCCGAAAGCAACTCGGGGAACCCAAAAAACATCTCAGGGAACCCAAAAATACCTCAGGGACCCCAAAAGCACCTCGGGGAACCCAAAATCAACTCGGGGAACCCAAAAAACATCTCAAGGAACCCAAAAATACCTCAGGGAACCCAAAAAACGTCTCAAGGAACCCAAAACCACCTCAGGGAACCCAAAATCAACTCAGGGAAACCAAAATCACTTCAGGGAACCCAAAAATACCTCAGGGACCCCAAAATCACCTCAGGGACCCCGAAATCAACTCAGGGAACCCAAAATCAACTCAGGGAAACCAAAATCACTTCAGGGAACCCAAAAATACCTCAGGGACCCCAAAATCACCTCAGGGACCCCGAAATCAACTCAGGGAACCCAAAATCACTTCAAGGAGCCCAAAATCACCTCAGGGAACCCAAAATCAACTCAGAGAAACCAAAATCACTTCAGGGAACCCAAAAATACCTCAGGGAACCCAAAATCAACTCAGGGACCCAAAACCTGCCTTTGGAGACTCCAAAAACACTTGAGGGAACCCAAAATCACCTCAGGGAACCCAAAAATACCTCAGGGAACCCAAAATTAACTCAGGGACCCCAAAATCAACTCAGGAACCCAAAATCACCTCAGGGAGCCCAAAATCAACTCAGGGATCCCAGAACCACCTTGGAGAACCCCAAAATCACCTCAGGAACCCTGAAATAACCCCAGGGACCCCAGAACCACCTCAGAGATCCCAAAACCGCCTTGGAGACCCCCAGAGTGTCCCCTTAAAGCCCCTCCCAAAAATGTCCCCAAGGCCGATGTCCCCTCCTGACCAGGTTGGGGACATTCTCAGGGGTCAGCAGTGACCCCAGGACAGGTGACACCCCCCAAATGTCTGGCTACGAGGACAGGGACAGGTTAGGGACACCTGGGGACACCAGGAACATGGCCAGTGTCAGGGGCAGGTTGGCTACGAGGGACAGGGACGGGTTAGGGACACCTGGGGACACCAGGAACATGGCCAGTGTCAGGGGCAGGTTGGCTACGAGGGACAGGGACAGGTTAGGGACACCTGGGGACACCAGGAACATGGCCAGTGTCAGGGGCAGGTTGGCTACGGGGACAGGGACGGGTTAGAGACACCTGGGGACACCAGGAACGTGGCCAGTGTCAGGGGCAGGTTGGCTACAAGGACAGGGACAGGTTAGAGACACCTGGGGACAGCTGGGGACATGGCCAGTGTCAGGGGCAGGTTGGCTACGGGGAGGGGATACGGGGTTAGGGACAGCTGGGGACAGCTGGGGATGTGGGACATGGCTTGGAGACTTGGCCAGCGTGGGCGGCAGGTTGGCTACGGGGACAGGGACAGGTTAGGGGACACCTGGGGACAGCTGGGGACACAAGGGGACACCTGGGGACAGCTGTGACTTGGCCACCGTGGGCGGCAGGTTGGCTATGGGGACAGGGACAGGTTAGGGACACCTGGGGACACCTGGGGACAGCTGGGACATGGCCAGCGTGGGAGGCAGGTTGGCTACGGGGACAGGGACAGGTTAGGGACAGCTGGGGACGTGGGACATGGCTTGGAGACTTGGCCAGCGTGGATGGTAGGATGGCTACGAGGACAGGGACGGGGTTAGCGACACTTGGGGACACTTGGGGACACCAGGGGACGTTACCATGGAGGGTCTCAAAGGCCTGGATGACCTCGGCCATGAACATGGGGTGACCAGGGACACCAGGGGGACACCAAGGAACACCCTGGGGACAGCAGGGGACACTTGGGGACGTTACCGTGGAGGGTCTCGTAGGCCTGGATGACCTCGGCCATGAACATGGGCCGCTGGCGGGCGATGGTGGCCAGCGAGCCGAGCGCGGCCGTCAGGTTGATGCTGGAGATGGCCGGGTGCACCATGAACTTGAGCAGCTGCTCCAGCGCCGCCTTGCCCTCCTCCCACAGCACGTCTGGGGACAGCGGGGACAGCGGCGTCACCCACACGTCAGGGGACAGCGGGTTCGCCCACCCGCGGGGAGGGCACCGGGGTCACCCACATGCTAAGGGTCAATGGAGTCACTGACCCACGAGGAGGTCACTGGGGTCCCAGTCAGGGGGTCAGAGGGGTCCCCAACTCAAGGGGTCAGTGGGGTCTCCTCTCAAAGGGTCAGTGGGGTCACCCTACCCCAAATCCCCTCCACTCGCTGGACTCAGTGATGGGATGACCCCAATCCCATTCCTGACCCCAATCCCAATCCCCCAGACTCACTGTACTCGATGACGGGGTGCTCCCAATCCCAACCCCAAACCCCAATCCCGACTCACTGTACTCAATGACGGGGTGGTCCCAATCCCGATCCCAAACCTAAACCCCAATCCCAACCCCAACCCCCAACCCCAATCCCAACTCACTGTACTTGATGACAGGCTGGTCCCAATCCCAATCCCAATCCCGATCCCAACCCTAATCCCAACTCACTGTACTTGATGACGGGGTGGTCCCGATCCCATTCCTGACCCCAATCCCAAAGCCCAATCCCCCAAAACTCACTGTACTTGATGACGGGGTGGTCCCGATCCCAAACCCCAATCCCAATCCCAATCCCCAGACTCACTGTACTTGATGACGGGGTGATCCCGATCCCAATCCCAATCCCAATCCCAATCCCCAATCCCAACCCGAATCCCCCAAAACTCACTGTACTTGATGACGGGGTGGTCCTGATCCCATTCCTGACCCCAATCCCAATCCCAATCCCAATCC